GATTCTCCAGATGGAAGTACATTTGGAAGAGAAGAATGTGAAGCCTGTTGTGCCACTCCTCCTCCCCCACAGGAGACACAACTATAGTAGCCTCAACTGTCAACTAATATGAACCTTCTACCCTTGCAAAAATCACCACCCAGTCCCAAGTGCACAATATCTCTGCTTGACATTTAAGCATTTATTCACCAGCATAATGTCATCCTTTCAACCTGGAATGTGGCTGGGACTGGGTGGTTTATATCCACCAGAGATCCCTGTTTTACTGACTTCCTCTCCCACGATGACATCAACTGCTTCAGTGTGGCTGCCTCATCAAGGCTATGGGAACTGAGAAAGGCATAAAGCAACGCTGCATATTGGCCCCATTCCTAATTCTATTTTTATATCAAGTATATATTGGACCATTTCCTCAACCTGAAGTTTCACTTCCCCAAACTGGCTGGAAGACACACATTTCTGTTTTATTCTAGGCAGACGATGTAGCAATACTCTCAAGAATACCTGTTGGCTTAAAAGAGCACTGAGAGCACTAGGGCAGTATTGCAAGGAAGAGCAGCTAGGATTCAGGTATGAGAAAAACAAGATTTGCAAAAAGTACTTGCCAAAGGTCTAAGAATCAATGGCGGATACATGGCCATGAAATTGAGCAGGTGTACTGTTTCAAATATTTGAGAAATAATAGCCCTATATTCTGCCAACAGTAGGAAACCCCATGAAGACAATGTCACTGAAAATGCACAGATGAGCTCATTTCGGGGGTGCACACGCGCTGTTTACAAGCAATTGCGCACTCCGGCCCCCAATGTGTGACTCGTGTCCTGGGTTGCACAGAGTCTCAGGCCCTGGGTCCGCAGCTGATGTTGTGCAATGCCAGGTCGGTTGTTAATAAAGCCCCCCCCCTCATTTGTGATCTTATTTTGGAGGGGGGTGCGGACTTGGCAGGTATTACGGAGACCTGATTGGGCCAGGAGGGGGGGTCCCCCTCGCTGATATGTGTCCACCTGGTTTCCATGCATTTCATCAGCCAAGGGCTCAGGGGAGGGTGGGGGGGTGGCGGCGATTATTAGGGAAAGTCTTTGTCTGAGGGAGACCACTATTCCTCAGATAGCCGGATGTGAATCCCTTTTTGTGAAGTGGGGCCGTGGGGTACCTGGCTCCCTGCCACATAGCGGCGACCCTGCCCAAGCTACTTGACGTTATTGCTGGGGTGGCAGTTGATACCCCCAGACTTATTATCATGGGGGATTTCAACCTGCCATCCGCCAGTGAGGCGTCAGAAGTGGCTTGGGAGTTCATGGCTTCCATGGCGGCCATGGACCTGACCCAGTTAGTTCAAGGCCCCACCCACACACTCTGGACTTGATTTTCGTCTCTGGTCAGTGGTTGAATGATCTTGGTAGAGGGGATTTAGACATTAAACCCTTGTCATGGACAGATCATTCGCTCCTTCACTTGGACTTTCCAGTTGCTTCCCCCTGCCGCAGGGAGACGGAACCAACTAGATGGTTCCGTCCCAAGTGCCTGATGGATCCCGAAAGATTCCTGATGGAGCTTGGGCCATTTCCTGAGACCCTGGCACACGACTTGACTGAAGACCTGGTGGCCGCCTGGGATAGTGCCGCCGCCTGAGCTTTGGACCGCGTCATGCCTTTGCGGCCTCTGACCCGATGCCGATTTCAATTGGCACCTTGGTTCTCCGAGGAGCTGAGAGAGATGAAGCATCGGAAAAGACGCCTAGAGAGCATTTGGAGGACTAGTCAATTCGACTCTGACCGAACACTGGTGAGGTCTTATATCAAGACCAACCTAGTGGCGATAAAAGCAGTGAAATCTAACTATTTTTCCGCTCTTATCGCATCTGCAGAGAACCGCCCAGCCACTCTGTTTAGGGTGACCCATTCCCTTCTTCGGGGGGGGGGGAGTGCGGGAAGATCCCTTGCAGGGTCGTGCTGAGGATTTTGTGCAGTTCCTGCATGATAAAGACGCTTGGATTCAGGAAGGCTTGGACTCCGACTGAATGAGTCCAGGGGGGGAGACGAGGGTAGGTCTTGAGAATATTATCTGGGAGGAGTTTGATCCTGTGGCTCCCAAGGATGTGGACAGGGTTCTGGGTAAGATTAGTGCCGCCACATGTTTATTGGACCTGTGTCCCTCCTGGTTGGTACTGGCCTCCCGGGAGGTTACACGAGACTGGCTCCAGGGGATTATAAATGCTTCTCTGAGTGAGGGTGCCTTTCCCGCCACCTTGAAAGAGGCAGTGGTGAGGCCCCTCCTCAAGAAGCCATCCCTGGACCCGGCTGAATTAGCTAACTATCGTCTGGTCTCCAACTACCAAGAGCCTTGGTAGTACAGTGGTCTAAAGCACCCTGTTATTAAGACCAGCTGCCTGCAATTACTGCAGGTTCGAATCTCGCCAGGCTCAAGGTTGACTCAGCCTTCCATCCTTTCTAAGGTAAGTAAATTGAGGACCCAGTTGTGGGGGCAATAAGCTGACTTTGTATAAATATACAAAAAGGATGAAGGCTGTTGCTTAGCGCATTGTAAGCCTCCCTGAGTCTCCGGAAAAGGGCGGCATATAAATCAAATTAAAAAAAAAAACCTTCGTTTTGTGGCGAAGGTTGTTGAGAGTGTGGTGGCACAACAGCTTCCCCGGTACCTGGATGAAGCTATCTATCTGGACCCGTACCAGTCGGGCTTCAGGCAGGGGTACAGCACAGAAACGGCATTGGTCGCATTGGTGGATGATCTCTGGAGGGCTCGGGACAGGGGTTGTTCCTCTGTCCTGGTCCTATTAGATCTCTCAGCGGTTTTTGATACCATCGACCATGGTATCATGCTGCAGCGGTTGAGGGGGTTAGGAATAGGAGGCACCGTGCTGCGGTGGTTCGCCTCCTTTCTCTCCGACCGCTCACAGTTTGTGTTGGCAGGGGGGCAGAGGTCAACCTGCGGTGCCTCACTTGGGGAGTGCCACAAGGGTCAGTCCTCTCGCCCCTTCTGTTCAACATTTATGTGAAGCCGCTGGGCGAGATCATCCGTGGTTTTGGGGTGAGAGTCCATCAGTACGCTGATGATACTCAGCTGTACATCTCCACCTCAGACCACCCCAATAATGCCCTTGATGTGATGTCTCACTGCCTGGAGTCTGTGTGGGTCTGGATGGGGAGAAATAGGCTCAGACTCAACCCTGCCAAGACCGAGTGGCTGTGGCTCCTGATATAGTCAGCTGGTGCCATCACTGACTATTGGGGGTGAATCTTCCCCCCCCCCCACAGAGAGAGCTCGTAATCTGGGTGTCCTCCTGAATGCACGGCTGTCTTTAGAAGAGCATATGATGGCCGTGGCCAGGGGGGCTTTTTATCAGGTTCACTTGATTCGCCAGTTATGGCCCTTTCTGGACCAGGACGCCTTGCGCACGGTCACTCACGCCCTGGTCACCTCCCAGCTGGACTACTGTAATGCTCTCTACATGGGGCTCCCCTTGAAGAGCACTCGGAGGCTCCAACTGGTCCAGAATGCGGTCGCGTGGGTGGTTATGGGCGTGACTCATTGTGCCCACGTGACACCTCTCCTGCGTGAGCTGCACTGGCTCCCAGTGGTCTTCCGGGTGCAATTCAAGGTGTTGGATTGAATTCTCCAATTCTGCCCCATTAGAACTTTTTCAGTCCAGATTTCAAAGGTTAACTCTCAAACCCCAAACTGTGTCTCTAATACCACCCTGAAACTAAAACAAACCTCATGAAAGTAGAAGCTAGAGTATAAGTGATGAAAATCAACTATTGTCTCAGACTACCCTTTATTCACCTTGGCCTTGCTCCACTATGAAGGGTGATTCTCAATTAACATGGAAAAAGAGAGTGACAACTACAATTTCATCCTTGGGCTTCTCTCCAGGCCTTCTATTTACTATGCAATATGTTCAGGCCATAGCATTCATTAAACAGTGTGTAGCAGACACAGACTGCTAACTGGACCTGGCCAGGTCTTCAACCTTTACTGCCAGTGAACCCAAGAGATATTCTGTCTCTCTGTGGCATACTTAACTAATCTTGAACTACCTAACCACCCGAGGGCTTTCCTCTGGCATGATGACAGATTCTTCTCTTAGCTGTCATTCAAGGCTGATACAGCAAGATTTCCTACCTGGAAAGATAATGCCTCTGTGGCTCTGGACACCTAGAAACAATAGAACATGTAGCTCTCCAATTCCTGTATTATAGAGACGTTTGTATTAGCCTCATCTCATCACTACTGTATAAATACCCAGGGAGCACAGGACAATTTTGCACCTCCCTGCTGTTCTCATTTACCAACCGTTCTACAACATCCAATGTTGCCAGGTTCTGTACAGTAACACTTAAAATCCATCCGATGATGGATGGTCTGTGCTGCAAACCAGTTTTAATGAGCACCTAGGATGCTCTGTATTATAATAGATTTAGTTTGTCATGCTCTTCTATATCCATTTACTGCTCCAACCACTCCCTTTATATCATTTTTAGAGTTTTGTTTTTATACTGTTTAGCTTTTTGTGTGTGATCTTTATTCTGTTGTATCTTTTATGCTTTTTAATTTCCTGTACACCATCCTTCTTATGATGATCTTTGACTGTAATAAAGTTTGACTTCATTGGATTCATTCTTCCTATATGAAGAAAATAGAAATCGAGCACTCAATTCAGCAGTGAAGACAATCTGCTGAACATTTGCATTAGAAAAATATTCAGTAGGTTAAATATGTTCCCAGTTTTATCTTCCTTCCATGTCATATAGCAGTTAAGGTCTACTTACAAACAGTTGTGTTAAAAAAAAAAAAAAAATCTGAGATCCCTCCAGGATTGAGGAAATTATTTTTTTACACCACCACCTGTTACTTATTCCTGCAGAATAGAAATTTGCTCTTTCTTTTTTGATTTACATAAATTCTAGAGCCTCCTGAGTCTGATCTGCTTTGTTTATTGCTAGCCTTCCTTATATTCTTGTCTTACTATTTTCTTCCAGAGAATTTGCTCGTTGGAAAGTCAATAACTTGGCATTGGAAAGAAAAGATTTCTTCAATTTGCCTTTGCCTCTGGCTCCAGAATTCATCCGCAACATTCGTCTTCTGGGGCGTCGGCCCAGCCTTCAACAGATCACAGAGAACCTGATTAAAAAATACGGGACCCATTTCCTTCTCTCAGCAACTCTTGGAGGTAAACACTTAGCTTTCTGTTCATACATTAAACTCATAAACAATATATTTGAGCTGCATCAGCAAAGATTATATTATATTAAATATATTTCCTGAAGCATTTACAGTAGAAGAAGCCTAACTGTAACAGCTCTGGTAGTTCAAATTATTTATTAAGATGAATATCATTTACTTGTTAAATAAGCTCAGGTGAGACAAAAAGACTCAATAGTAAGTTGCATGGAGTTATTTAGAAGCATTGGTGCATAATATGTGGATCTTCTGAATATGTGTTTGGAAGCAGAGTCACTGCCTTAGGTGGGGTTTATTCTCAAGTAATCATGCACAGGGTTGCAACTACACAGCTCAATCCAGCTTTAATAATTGTTATGCCATGTTAAAGACAGATATGAAGAGACCCAGGGCACAATCAGAAAGATCAGTTGTCTAAATGGCAAGAATATACGAGGATTGCATAGAAACTGTAGTTCATAGCAATTGCCCATAGAGACAGTGCTTCTCCTCTACCTATTGCAGTGTCACATCCTGCCAATATCTGTCATGATCACACAACTGCTTTCGCCATCAGGGAATGGCACTTGTCTCCAGGAAAGATGTGTCATGGCTCTGTGTCTTCATAACATTTCCCTACAACCTCCCTCTGTGAGCCACAATCTGTAGCCTCACAACCATGTTGGCAAAGATTTCCATCACTGTCATCTCTTTAGAATCAGTTAGAGACAGAAGGAATATGAAACATTAGAATAGTCTAAGGCAACTCCAATTTCTATTACTGTCATCTCCTTAGAATTAAAGGCAGAAGGATATGCAACATTACAACATTCCTTTCAGGCAGCCTCCAACTGGTACTACAACGCTCTGTGCTCAAGAATGCTCCTCCCCCTTCAGCTGACAGGTCCCTCTTTCCGGCTCAAGAATAGCAATTCAATAGACATGGATAAACAGCCCCATGTTCCAAAGCTGTGGTTTGAATAAATGATACTTCAGAAATTCTTTCTTCTGTTACCCATGCTACTTTTCTCCATTCTCACCCCCAATAATCTGAGGAGAAGGATGTTAAAATATTTGCTTTTCAGATGAATGGATTCTAGAATTTAAAATAATACTTGCAGTGATCTGAAGGATTCCCCCATCTGTTCATTGCCCCTCAGAATGATTGTTTGTCACTCTAGATGGTCACTTAAATGCTTCATGACTTCAATGGGAATGTGCATGACAAATAAATAAGGTTGCTCAATATAAATTAAGAGAAACTTGGTTTTTAATGTATTAAAAATGTGTGGTGGTGGGAGAAGGTGTTTAAAACATTGAGCCATCTTGTATCAGAGGTGGTATTCAGCAGGTTCTGATCAGTTCTAGAGAACCAGTAGCAGAAATTTTGAGTAGTTTGGAGAACCAGTAAATACCACCTCTGACTGGCCCCATCTATTCTCTTGAGTCCCAGCTGATCGAGAGGAAATGGGGATTTTGCAGAATGAATTGATGAATGGTCCAGTGCTTTATTCATATAACATTCACTCCTCTCAATAATTTTTCTGACCCCTGGAAGTATTTCCATAAATTTTTCTCCTGCTCACCCCCCCCCCCCCGCCCCACTTGCTAATGTATAAAAAACTAAAAAGAGAGTTGCAACTTTGGACAAGATGTAGTTTTCTATCCAAAAATAGCTTTGAGGAGAGAGTGAAGATACATGACCACTTCCTCAAAAGAAAAAGAATTAATTCTAGCTTCAGGCTGTGTAAAGCATGGTGGTCAACAGAACTGCTGTAGAAAGCAGCAGGCGAAACAGTTCACACCTTTCTCTAAGGATTTATCATACTAGGATTCATTGGTGTGGAGGATTTGTTATTGATTAAAGCCATAGTTCAAAGAAGGACTTAAAGCAGCAGTATGGATTTTAAAAAATCTATAAGTCACATCTAGTATTAGCAACAGAACAAGCTTGCCAAGAGACTAAAGACAATTAGTGATACTTCACTATGTGAGTGATTGCTTGGTTTAAATAATACCTTTTCCATTGCCAGATTAACATCATTTTTCCTCTTTTACTCACCATCCTTTTTAATGCTGTGATGTGCTAAAGTTTCCAAGTACGGGGACAACTGAGTTTTTGTGTCCCATGCACTGTAAAGTAATTATCTCTATTATTATTATTGGATCTGACTCTACTATATAGGAAGACATTTCACAGAAGCAGGAGATCTTAGAATCAGAATACAGTTGGAAGGGACCTTGGAGGTCTTCTAGTCCAACCCCCTGCTCAAGCAGAAGACCCTATATCATTTCAGACACGTGGCTATTCAGTCTCTTCTTAAAAACTTCCAATGATGAAGCATTCACAACTTCTGAAGGCAAGCTGTTCTTGTTTAAGGCTCATGTTTAAGTGATCATCCATTAGGACTCCAACGTCCCTCTCACAGTTACTGTTTTTGAGCCAGGTTTTGCCTAATCTGTACTTGTACCTTTAGTTTTTCCTGCCTAGGTGTAACTTTACACTTTAGTTTACTTCTCAATCAAAAATGGTTGCAATAGACATTCTAATAGAGGTGTTTTGGGTAATGCTAAAAGCCACACCAGGTATTCTATCTCTCAAAGAGGCTTCCTGTAGATTAAAAGTTGATCCATTTTTATTTGTAACTCCAAGGATTTTGGTCAAAGAAAGAAACTGCAATGTGATTGAGTGTGATAATTGCAGAAGAGACAGAATTTTCCACCTCCACAAATGCTGTTGACATTCAAAGGACCATTAGATGCTATGTCTGATAGGAAAGTTTCAAATCAAGATAATCTCTGTTGTTTGAAATATAATTAAAAACTGAAATTAAAAACTGAAACTAACTTAGAGCTTCCGGTTGGGGCCGTGGGGAAACAGACGGGGAAATGGCAAGCTCCGCTGAGCCCTGCCAAATCCGCTCTGCTAAACTGCCGCCGATAGGTCTGTGGACCTCCCCTGTCTTGTAGGGACAGGGGGACAAGAAGGAACGCCTTGGGCAGCCGAGAGGAACAGGCAGGTTCCTTGGGGCCAGAGGCTTCTCCTTCATGTCGGCGGCAGCGGAACGGCAGCCATGGCGGCTGCCCTGAAACCGCAGCAACCGGGAACATGGATTGTGCTGGAGGAAGAAGATGAAGAAAGAGCAAAGATCAAGAAGCCAGGTGAGTGACACCAACCCAGGCAATATAACGTACCTATTTGGAATTATTGGAAAATAAGACCCCAAATTTAAAAGCAGCTGCTGGACTGCGGGGCTTAAAGATTGAAAAGAAAAAAAATGGGTAAAAGACCCGAATTGAATTTTGTTGCAGTAAACTTAAATTGGATGATTTGGCATTAATAAATTTCTGAAATTTGTCTGTGCCTTTAACTGGAGTGGATAGGAGACATGGATATTCCTGAGAATTAATGCCTCTAAAAGAAAATGAAGCTAATGAAGCTAATGAAGATAGACAGTTGGATGGCTACAAAATAGCCATGGAGTCTGCAGTGACTAAGCAGGGAAGTGGATTGAAGAGATTTCCCTTTCTGGGTGGAAAAGAAACATGTTAATTGGCTTTTTACCTTGGATTACTTGAAATTAATATTGGATATAAGGATTTTGGAGATTCCTACTCTGTCCCAGATGATTTTAAGAAAGAAGAAAGAAGAAAGAAAGAACATTTTGGATTTTAACAATGGAGACTGACAAAACTGTAAACAAAAGCCAGGTGTGGCGTAGTTAACAAAGACAGGAAGCTGATGCACTACGCTTGGAACAGACATTTTAAAAGTTTTAAAGGGACATACAGAAATTCTTTACTTTGAACTGATGAACCTTGAAATAGAGCACTTTGGACAAAGAGGAAAAGGAAGAATTAAAGTGGATAAATTTAAATGTGACTAACTGAAATGTAAAGTTTAAAAGCCTATGTATATATGATAAAGTTTAAAAGCCTAGGTATATATGATTTTTGGATAAAAACAGGAAGGGTTGTGAAATAATAAAGATAGAAAATAAGAGATGGCTATTAAAATAGTGGATGATATCAAGGGGATAAAAATAATAAAGAAGAATATATTTTGAGGCAGGAAAATTTTAAGAAAATGTAATGTTTGATGTAATATGTTTTAATTTTAATTTGCAAACAAATGTTAAATTGATGAATAAGGATTGATTGAACAAAATACAAGATACACAGATGCTAGTGATTAGTCTTGAATTAAGGTAATAGATGTTGGAAATGATGACTATTATGAAATATATTGAGATTTAAATTGAAAGAGTAGGACGGAAAAATGATATAAAACAGATAATTATATTACAGTTAAAATGTGTGGAATGGATACCAACTAGATAAGAGTTTGAGACTCGGTGGAAATACGTTAGAAATTAATTAGAAGTGCTGGAAATTAGCTAAACAAATAGGAGGAGTGCTGGAGGGAATTATGCTGGACACCAGCCAAACAATGGAGGGAGATTAGAGGAGATTATGCTGGAAATCAGCCAAACAATGGAGGGAGTTAAGGAGGAGATTATGCTGGAAATCAGCCCATAAAATGCTGGAAACAGCCAAACAAATAAGGAGGAGAGTTGGAGGAGACTATGCTGGAAATCAGCCAAACAATGGAGGGAGTTAAGGAGGAGACTATGCTGGAAATCAGCCCATAAAATGCTGGAAACAGCCAAACAAATAGGAGCAGAGTTGGAGGAGACTATGCTGGAAATCAGCAAACAATGGAGGGAGTTAAGGAGGAGACTATGCTGGAAATCAGCCCGCAAAATGCTGGAAACAGCCAAACAAATAGGAGGAGAGTTGGAGGAGATTGAGGAACTATTCTGAAATTAACTAAATAGTTGGTGTTTTGGAGGGGATCAAGCTGAGAATTAATCAAATAGAATAAGCTGGAAGATAGTTAAATATTAGAGGGAGATATAGTAGAAAATATATTAGAAATTGGAGTAAATAAAATATGTCTTTGTGAGAAATCTGTGTAATATGTAAACTGGGAGAAAAAAAACTAAGGTA